AGCAGACCACTAATTATATAATGAATCAGATTAACAGATAAAATTTTACAGAATGATGTATAAGAAAAAAGAGGTTTTGAAGTTGGAGATGAAGTAAATATTCCATTTTCATATAAAACTTCTTTTGACTTGTTTGGGAGACAAGCAATTAAGGTATTATAATTACAAACGTTCCTCCAAAAGATTCTCACTGCAATCTTACACCAAAAAGTCCAACCATTTTGGTTAAAATTTGCAACTTAGGTTGATTCAAGTATTGTACAGCATATGAACTTAATCGTACAGACCCTGGCGAAAAGAATGGCAGTCAATTTTTTAATAATAATTGCAAATTGTAATAATAAATTATTTAATATTTTTTTTTTATATTCTGAAAGATGGACAAAAAATATAATATTTGATATGGCCTCCATTTGCATCAATACATGTTTTAATACGACGTGGCATGCTTTTAACACAATTAATAATTACGGTATTAAGTCAAAAAAATTTTAAAATATTTTTTTTGTGTGGCTATACTCTTGACCTTTTTCTCAATATTTTTCTTCAAAACAGCCCACACATTCTCATTAGGTTGAAATCTGGACTGTAGGAAGGCTAAGGAAGGATCCGACCTGGAAGGTGAGCTCTCAGATCATTTTGAACATCATGGGAAGTGTGTTTCGGGTTATTATCTTGTTGAAAGACTTATCGATTACCATGTACTTCATTTGCATTATCATATAAATCAGTCCTAGTTAAAACTTTTAATGGACCAATTTTGTATATCTATATAAATCATTTACCATTTACAGTAACTTCAATCTTAAATGACTTCATTTTTTTCATTTCAACCTTATCGACCCTAATATTAAATGTTGCTGTGTTAATATTCAAGTCAGTGAGAATAACAATATGAAAGAATTTTATGCACATATCTTATAATATATGATGTAAGTTATAAGAGATCGATGTAACCAACTTACAATATAAATTACATGTATTCACAACCCTACCCAATAATACAGAAAAATTCTGCACAGATGCTGGCACTATGAGCGTGAAGGCCGTTAAGTACTGATAGCACGTGACCAAATCAGTGATGACTTGATTGGGTGACATAGGATTTTAACTAATTGTACCTACTGATAAATTGTAGAATTTTTCGGGTAGTATTAATAGACACTGACATCAACAAAATATTATACCAAAAAAAAACATTTTAAAATACATTAAGGAATTATTCAATAAATCTTCAAAAGGTTAGTGTTTATTTTCAAGCATATTCTTTTAAATACGATATTAAATCATTTGTTAGTTTAGAATTAAAATAAAGAGAATTTAAATGAAATGTCTATAGACATCGTTCATAGATGGGCTAAACAAATGATAAAAAATCATAAAAACAAAAACTATTACGATAATGAGCTTTTTGAAGACCCATTACATGGTTTATTGGTAAGAAGATTAAAAAATCTACAACATACTAAAACAACTCTTATTATTGTACGTGTATAATCTAAATATTACATCATTGAGTAATCCGATCCTAATCGGGATACATGCTTCCTCCACAAGAACTTCCATCCGATTGTGCGTTTTTGTTCACAGATCGGCAATCTTTATCAAATGCACTCTCTGTGCTTGTTAGCAATAAGTGGTCCAGACATGAAAGATAACACTATAGATGTAGGTCGGATGTTTGAAGTCCAAGTCAGTAAAAAAGGCGATTTTGATATCGCCGAACACCTTTTCGTTTTCAATATTTAAAACATTATTATAATAACAGACCAGCCAGCCAAAATAGGTGAACCAGATAAACCACATAATAGGCAATAATAGCAATACGAATGAATTAATTTTTGGGCAGCTTTTTGCAAAAACATAGTTTTGGAGTTATTTTTGAAAATATTATCAGGCTCATAATTATTTGATAGGTATCAAAAATAGTATATCTTTGAAATAATGGAAAAGAAGTTTTAGAAAGGGATCCAGGCCTTGTACAGTACTTAATAATATGACTTACGAATTATTGTTACCAATGATTTATTCAAGTGTCAAATCATTAAAGGATTTTTAATAATCACAGTGTGAAGCATTATCAACTGCCTATTCTGAATAGAAAAAATGGTCATCAAAAATAAATTAGAATCATGTGTGTTATGTTGGTATGAATAATTTGGTAAAGTGTGGTTCTTAGGCACTAGCTACATTTAGCAGTGTAATTCTGGTAAGGATATTACCTCGTTTATATATATGCTGACGGTAGCAAGACTAAGTCACGACATTGAGGAAACCAAACAACGAAAATTATTACTGATATGTAGGATGTATGTTCTATTGAAGACATTTCCCTCGTGGATAGAGAGATGGTGCTTTTTTGGAATTGGTAAATAAAAAAAAGGTTAGTAATGAGATTAAGCAACGCAATAAGGTAAAGAAACTTTTATGTGAATTGGCTGATCAGGATGATACTTCTGGCTTGTTATGCGATACAAAAATAATCCTCAGCAGAAAATATCCCAAACAGTTCTCAGGAAAATTCTGATCATAACAATTCTGCTGATAATTCTAGTGATACTGTATTTGGAAGACGTAAAAACCGCTACAAGAAGTTACGATCAGATTGATCTTGGCAATTCTGATATTACTTCTGAATACTTGAATCAGAGAATCAAATAGTAGAGGATTTAGTTTGAGAGCTGACCTGTGTTGTTTCTTCTAAATTCTTCAAATGGCGATAAGACAGGTGTTGTCAAAATTAGTAAGTCTTGTATGCAAGACATGGTTCCAGGCTCTGCGCAAAGATTATCAGAATTATATGATAAAGCAATAAAAACAAGGTCAGAAACAAATTCTACGCTGGTTTTATTATTCTCTTGAATTTGAAAATAGAGTCAGAAGTCTCACAGTGGATGGCAATATTAAGAATAAAAAGCAAGATCGAAAATATATAAGGAAATGAACCCTTTTCTATCCATGATTACAGGTGTGAATTTGCATAAGAAAACTGAAAGAGCTCTAAAAATGCTTAAGGTCTTTGGTGAAGGAGGTGTAGACATAGACAGGATCAAGTGCTATCTCGGGATTAAAAGAATATAGTATAGAATCTAGTGAATATCTCGTGTTTAATAGTTCAGTATCCTGTCCGATGTGTAATAAAGATCATAAAAGCGAAAATATAAGGTAAGGTATTCGTGGTCAATAGGATTGCGGTGATTACAAACTTACCATCTTGAATGTTGGGAGAATTATTGTAATAAAATTAGTAGTGACTGTGAAAACATTGAGCGAGGCGGGAATTTGCCATGTGAGATCAATGCACAATACGATACTCGGAAAAAATTCTTGCCGAAAAATGCGTGAACATCAGAGATTCACAAATGTCCAGTTTTTTGAATTAATACGTTAATGGTATTGCGGTAAACATTTCTGCCTTCAGATATATTATTTTCCACTTTAAATAAACTAACATTAATGCTTTATGACTTTATGACGTCCCCACATTCCATCTCATATTCTCATTACTTCCATCAGAACTTTTTTCTGAACCTTTCCAGAAAGCCGAACATTGTTTGGGTTGCAAAGAGGAAATTATCTAATGTTTGATTTGACAATCCGTCAGAAATACTCCCCCAGAACAATTTTCAGCCACCTAACCTTCTCGAATACTCGAATCCCAGAGCATCCATTCTTATTGTGAATTTGGTTTTTCAAGATGTTGGAATCCTCCGGTCAAACATGTTTCTTAGACTTCTTGCTATATGAGACGGAAAAGTTACTCGCCTTGCTTTGGAAGTTATTTTCTTCTCGAAGTATTTGTATATGTTTATAATGCACTTGTAATTTAGTTGCCATTGTAAAAACAAAAGCGTGACTTAAGTAAACAAGCAAATTTTTATTAATATTTATACGCAATAAACTAACAATACAACTAAGCATTACATAGATTAGATCCACATTTTATATTATATAACTGATACAATTAACTAGTATGATCTTAAATCGAAAGTAAAATCCAGAACATGCAACATGTGACAAGGGACCCCACATTTTCTTATTTTTCTCGCACCTTGACGGCAAGATAGAACTGATTCTGGAAGAAAGATATAGTTCATTAACAAATTAAGATAAAAAATGAGATAACCCGTACATACATACATTGTCCTTCGATCTCATCATAAGCTACTTCCCATGCAGCCCGACCAGCCTCGGATTTCTTCTTCACTCTTTGTGAATAATCTCCAAGAAATCATAGAGTCCCAGCGAAACAAAGAATTCCGTAGATAAATTCCCCAATGACAATAATGTGATTAAATCCATACTTTTTAATTTGCTGTATACTACAAATATATTTCTTCAATAGGATTTTTTTTTTGATAATCCTCATACCAACAGAATTTGCCACGCGAAGACGGTCATATTCACTTGAAATATTTTTGACTAGAATGAGCGGACACTTAATACAAGGAAGCATTGTCACTTTTTCCGCATCGATTAGATTGATTGTCCGGGAATACATAATGACACAGCTTCGTGGAGCTTCTTAAGGGATACTAACTCGGAGCAATTACCCAACATTGAGGGCAATTTTCTTGTTCCTCCGCGGTCAGAATAACGAATCGAAGCTCCGAACATGTGTCGATTTGCTATTCTCCTTTTCCGTGATATTTCTTTCTTTTGATTTTTCTTCTTTTTCTCCGCGTTTTTTTTCCCATGTTCTTCCTTTCTTGTCTAAATGTTAAGTTTATTGTCGTTGGGCAAAATAACGTAATACCTGTAATAGTAATCCGTTATTATGGCTCTCGTCCATGGTTCTTTAACTTCAAGTTCATTAAGTCACTAGTAACAAATAATCTTTGGGTTATTATAAATCTTGAAAAATAACCGAAAAAATATTAATAAGCTAATCGGCCATTTTATTAGCTGCGGCAAGTTAGTACAAAGAATAATCACATCATAAATAATCATATTACATAATCATAAACAATTAAACTATTTTTTACTATATATAGACTACAATTCCCACACAAGCCTAAGCCTAATAAATATAATCAGATTCGATTAAAAACCGTACTTTTTTGTGATTGCTGATCAAATACCACTACCACATCAAAAAAATTTCTCCAGTAATATTGTAGTTTTAGTTTTTCACGATAATCTTTTATTTGGTTATTTTAGTTATATCATGTTACGGATGCCTCCAAAAGGTACTGGAAGAAAGACCACAACAAGGAAACGAAAAAATGAAATCGAGAGTGAGAGTTCTCCAAAAACGACCTCCCAAAAACGCTCAAAGTCCGAAGTTGAAAGTGAAAGCTCTTCTACATCAGTTCGGCGGTCAGAACGCATTGCCGCACAACCCAAACGAGACAGACAAGACTCAGATCTTGCAAGAATCATCCAAGAACTTAATCTCACTAGTTATGGCCTACCTTCTTCGGCATCTGGATTTAAAAATAAAGATATAGATACAATGAAAGTGATTTTCCAAGGAGCCTCAGCTGAGAATGTAGTTATACCCGATGCTGAAAGTACGAGTTATATTAAATTATTTATCACTAATTCTCTCAGCAAACCTAGTACTTATAATTTAAGTATTCTCTAGTCAAAAACTTTCCGGATGAGTATCTTCTCGCAGATATTAACAGAACTTTGTTGAGAAAACCAAATTTCACGGTTGACGATCTTGGGAAAATTAAAAATGGCGATGTTCTAACGTTTATTGACAAACTGCACGATATCACAGAGAACTCAACTCAGTTGATAGGTACAAGTGAAACCCATACTGATTCGTTAGTAGATGATCTACTCCGCGTTGTCGGATTTAATACCTGGCCCTTAAAGATTAAGTTAGTATTAGGGAAATTCTTTAGTTATGGTAGTTATAATATGTTCCTAAAGTTTGTTTCTCTCTCTCAAACTAGAAATCATGAACCATGCTCGATATACATTGCTGATGTGCCTGTCGTGTCATCAGATGCCGAATTCGTAATAAAGAAGCGAGAAATTTTTGTCCTTGTAGTAGAGGTCTGTATGTTGTTGATCATTTAACAAGTTCTTATCTTCATTGACTTGAACAATTTTTTTACGGGACAAGCATCTGAAAAACGTTGGGCACGCCACAGGTTATGGGGAAACGCAAATTGCTGTAGAGATTCTTGCTTGCGGTAGTACAAATATACGTACCAGTGCGCCAAAAGATCAAACACTATGGGCTATCCGAGTAATCTCTACATACGTTACTATCTACAAAGCTACAATTCCTGCATTGTATTGGAAAGAGCTTCAAGATGGCCTACCAAAAACAGAGGTTAAGATTGAAAGATGGCCTGCCGAAAATGGCCTGATGACTGGTTATGATCTTGCTGAACCAGACGGAAGACAAAATGCATTGACAGCATTAATAAGACTTCGTGAATCACTTTTATCCCAAGGCCAGCAAGGACAGTCCTCTACCTCACACACTGCCGTGGCATCCCAAGGCCAGCAAGGACAGTCCTCTATCTCACACACTACCGTGGCATCCCAAGGCCAGCAAGAACAGTCCTCTACCTCACACATTGCCATAATGCCCCAAGACCAGCAAGAACTGTCAGAACCATCAGAGCAGAGTAGCAAAAAGAAAGGCAAATTGCGTGAGGTTTAATTTAGTCATACTTAATAGTCAAATATGATTTATTGCTATAATTTTTATTGCATCAAATTTAGAATTTTCAACAACTTAATATTTGTTATTTCTCAATTCATTGACTTATTATACTTACTAATCTATAATTATGAATCTGATTTCGAAATTACAAATATGTTATGCTGTATATATGAAGAATAAAACAAAATCACACTTAACAATGTATATTAATTAATATTACGAAAAAAAAAATAATTCACTCAAGATTTTTTTCTTATTGCTTATATGTTATGAAATGCATTTTAAAGCTTTAACCTTATTCAATAAAACCCAATTCATAGAGATGCTCAGGAATAACGTGTGCAAAAAAAAGGACAATTTTTACTGCGGCAGATCATCATGATTAATTTTAGTCGTATATATATATAAATAAATATGCACTTATAATCAAGATATTATTTTCAAGTGAAACTTTTCCTATTTTAGTTTATTGAACTTTAAAGTGATCTCATCCAGGCAAAAAACTTAATATTGAATATGATTACATTTCTGAAGACAGGAAATATACAGTGCTACTTAAATATACTTATTAATGAAGTTTTTACATAAAACTATCACTAAAACAAAAAAATTGGAAATTAAATGTAAAAAATGCTTAAAAATGCTTTAGCAAGATTGCAAGATAGCATTTTGGTTATTTTATTAGTAATATAGCTATTTTATTAAGTAATTTTTTCGAAAATAATATTTTAAAGGTTATGGATTGGTCTTTAATAATTCAGACCTAAAACTTATTGAAAACCATTGGGTAATTATTAAGAGGAATGTGGAGTTGTATGAGCTAAAAAACCTTAGTGAATTTAAAAGTTTTTTAATAAAAAGTTAAAAAAAAAAATATCAAATAATCTTATAATTGATTTTGTAAATTTAATATCACAGCATTGCAGGGAGGTTATTGAGAAACGGTATTATTTAAATAGTTACGGTATCATCAATTGACTTTGTTACGGTATGATCATTTTTTTACCAGTATGAAGATCCATTTGTGCATCATACTGTACAGTCTTACACCTTTGGTTGTATAATATTAATACATCCAAAGTTACAGGTACAGTATAAACTGCCATACAAATATCGTACCTGTATTGTAAATATTGTAAACCGCAGTAATACAAATAAATCTTGCCAAAAAATAAACATGTTGAAAAGTCTAAAAGGAAAAATGAAATTAAAATCTACTGTACACAGTGAGTAAAGTCTTGATATATCGGAATTGAAGTCTGGAAAGGAATATCATAATCTATAATTAATTTACCCTCGATATAAAGGATTTCTCAATATAACAGATTTTTGACAAATTTTACCAATAGAACGAATAGTTCCATTATATCAAATTTCACTGTGTATATAGCAACAGATTCACTATACTTAAGGTATCCATTTATCCAGATATCCATCAGAAGTGTTTGGATTTACTAGAAAACAAGTTATTAAGCTAAACCATTTTAAATCTGCAATGCCTTGCTGTTCCACGATATTTAAATATTATAATTATCTGTTATGAATTCATTTAACTTTTTATTATTAAATGAAGACGAAAACGATTTGATTCAAAAGCTAGACACCAATATTAAGTCAAAGATTATGAACTGTCATCATTACGTATCAAATATATAACGCATTGTATTATCTGTTATATCAACAAATAACAATTATACCCCACCGTACTCTCAACTCACATACCTAAAAGAAGATGCAAAGAAAGGGACCTAAGAGAAGACCTAATAAAGAGAAGACCTTGACAGAGACAAGATAAACCTAAAAAAAAGATGATGAAAAAAAAGAAGTTAAACACCACCAGATAACAAATATAAAGTAAAAATATCAAAAAAAAAACTCACATTTTTAATATTTAATATGCACTCTTTTTCAAAAACTTCTTTAAGAAATTTTTTCATTCTACCAGTGAGCATTTACCTATTATAAGAAAGAAAAAATTATTAATAGTGTGCTAAATTTTTATTTAATGATAAAGAAGACATAGCCAATTTCTTTTCCAGAATTAGCAGACTTTACTAATAACAAAGTAGGATTTTATCTGCTTGAGTTGGTTATTAAGTGAACAAGAGAAATAAAAAAAAAAAAAAAAAAAAAAAAAAAAAAAGGGAATAAAAAAATAAAAATAAAAATAAAATAAAAAAAAAAAAGAAAAAGCAGGTAATTTCATAGGAATTACCCATTTTGCTCATCTTTACCCAACCCAAACAAACAAATCCAGTATCCTCTTAAGTAAAATTTGTGAACTCTCTGACTCAAATGAGTTATCTGTTCTAATTTTGACTTAGGAAGTTACCCACCTTGCAAATAAAAAAATACACATCTCTTTTAAAGTCTCTTGAGCCATTTACACTCTCTAAAAAATCAGTAATACTCCATTCAGAGAAATTTCATCTGTTGTTCAGTATTTCAATACAAAATAGTGCTGTAACTGATAAATAAAAAAAGAATAAATACAATTCAATGATAAGAGGTCAGATAGTATAAACATCAAAAAAAAAAAAATTTCGCGTTTTTAATACTTGATACGCACTCTTTTTCAAGAACTTATCTAAGAAAATATATGCACTTCCACTCTCCCAACCCATATACTTAAAGGAAGACGTAAAAATAGGGATTTAAGAGAAGACCTAATAAAGAGAAAATCTTGGCAGAGAGAAGATACGCCTAATAAAAAAAAAATAAAAAAAAATAAAAGTTAAAATACAACACACAAATTCACATTCCCAATCCACACTTCCAACTCATATACCTAAAGGAAGGTGTAAAGAAAAGGACCTAAGAGAAGGTCTAATAAAAAGAAAACCTTGACAAAGAGAAGATAGACCTAAAAAAAAGATGAAAAAAATGAAATTAAAATACAACACACAAACCTACATTTCCAACCCATACTCCCAACTCACATACCTAAAGAAAGACGTAAAGAAAGGGACCTAAGAGAAGGCCTAATAAAGAGAAGACTTGATGGAGAAAAGATAGACCTAAAAAAAGAAGACGAAAAAAAATGAAGTTAAAATACCACCGCCTACACACATGAACCTACGCTCCCAACCCACTCTCTTTGCCTAGGTTATGTTTACTTCTGCAAAAAAAGCTTTGTTTTTTTGGTTTATGTTTAAGTCATTACTAAAAATAAATAGGAAATATAAAGTGGGAAGAATAGCTTTTTTTTGTTTACTTCGCTGAAGAGAAAGAAAAACTGATAGTCTTTTTGGCTACTCAGCTGTGAAGAAAGGAAGTGAGAATTTTTTTAAAAAAATTTGTAGATGGAAAGGCCTTTTATATAAATTTTCTAGTTATAGTCAAAGTATAAAAATTATATCATAATCAACATAAATATTGTTTCTATAGTTACTGATTATTAGTAATTCTTTAAAAGAGATGACATAATAGTCTTATGATTATTTACTTTTTTTGAATAATATAATGTGAAAACTTAACCTAGACTGGGGGTTTTAGGCTTCTTATCCTAAACCTAGGGGGTCCAGACCTCTTATCTTAGACCTTGTAGCACAGCTGATCATTATCAGCCTCATTTGTTTATTTACCACCATTTTTTTTTTCACACAAAATAAACACTACGCTCACTCTTTTTCTTACCCTACTCTTTCATTTGGTTTTTTTCTTTATATTATTTTTTTCTACACAAATTATTTTTCTTTTTTTTTATAATAAATATTTTTTTATTACCATTATTTTCATAATAGTGTTTATTAGAACAATAAAAAATCTTTTTTATCAAAAATTTTAAATCTAATAAATACAAAGTGTTCTTTCTCTAATAATTACGCTTTAACACTTGCAATAGGTAAGTTTATTCTGGTTTCTTTGAGTTTGGATTAAATTATTACGGTATGTATTGTTTGAAACTTCTTTCAACTAAAGTTTGTGATTTTACTAATATGTACGTACTTTTTGTAGATTTTCATAGTATAATTTTAGCATTCTAATTAAATTAATTGGCTTTGGTTGGTATGTTAAAAATAAAATTGTTTGAATACTCGTATTTACAAAATTTCAATGGAAATTTGTGAAATATTTTCACTTTAATAATTAATAATGGTATTTTTTTTAATACAAGGTTATTTTGTAAGGAGAGAATAAATAATAATATAATAGATAATTCTTTACCCAGTTGTCAAATATTTGATAAACATTTCTAATATTTGGTTTAGTTTAATTTTTTGTCATAAAATATTCCAAGAAAAATGCTCATACTTTGTATCTCGTTGTGAAATATTGTTTTAATAAAAAAATTAATTTAAAAATCTCGAAAAATTTCTATAAATATTACGCGCATATTAGCGTATAAGTATTATAAAAAAATTTATGAAAATTTCTAAGATAAAAATATTACGCGCGTATTAATGTATATATTATAAAAAAAAATTTATGCTGATAAAAATATTACGCGTGTATTAATGTATATATTATAAAAAAATTTATGAAAATTTTTCTAAGATGAATGTTATGGTTGTTACGTGTGTATACAGTATATCGTGAAAAATTTTCTAAGATAAATGTTATGCAAAAATAAGTCTTGTCTAATGGATTTTGGTGGCTGATTAAACCAATCATATTTAAGGAAGGTCTAGGATAAGAAGCCTGAACCCTAGGAGTCTAGAATAAAAAACCTGAACCAGGGATCTAGGATAAGGACGCTCTAATATAATGTTACTGGACGTGACTGATTTACATGATTTGAAATTGTAGCTGATGTTTCTAAATTTATATAATATATACTAACAATACATAATTACATATAATCTTGAAATTAATAATATTATTGGCAATTTTTAATCCAATATATCTCTTTTTTATATAATTAATCATATCAACAACTTTTCTTCAATAAAAAAAATCATTATTCAAATCTCTTGAAATTGAAACCAGTTGTAAAAAGATGGTTTAAACCATCTGGATCTGAATTTTTATTCAGATTGATGATCAGTTAGAGCTTGTTTAATATAGCTAAATTAATCAGTTATCTATACTAATCACCCAAATTTTCACAGCCAGTACAAATCTACAAATCTCATCAGTTGACAGTTATTACTATAAAATTTGCGTAATGAAATAATAAACAAGACATATAATTGTCTGGAAATCGTCATTTTACTGGTTGTTGTAAACTGTAATCTTTAAAGTTTGTTTTTGTAGTTATAATACAATATATATTTAGTGAATATAATAAAACATTTTTAGATGGTTTCTCTTACTCTTTTACATTATGTTACAATTTATTTATAATCATCAATATATTCAGATTGGCTATTGGATTAAATAATGCGTCAAATTAATAAATACGAGCTTAACCAGTTTCAACCTCTAAATATTTAACCCTATTTCTAATACCTAATACTTGAAATTTCTTCAACGTTATATTGGATATTGCGTACATTATGACTTGTCTGGATAAATTTTGTATAAAAACAAGATGAAAAGTACCTTTATAATAAGGAAAATGAGAACGTAAAATTATTGAATGTGCACGAAATTCTTTTGTATTGTTATTCTCACTGACTTGAATATTAATACAGCAACATTTAATATTAGGGTCGATAAGTTGAAATGAAAAAAATGAAGTCATTTTAAGATTGAAGTTATTGTAAATGGTAAATAATTTATATAGATATGCAAAATTGGTCCATTAAAAGTTTTATCAACAAGATAATGACCTGAAACACACTTCCCGTGATGTTCAAAATGATCTAAGAGCTCACCTTCTAAGTTGGATCTTTCCTTGGCCTTCCTACAGCCCAGATTTCAACACAATGAGAATGTGTGGGCTGTTTTGAAGAAAAATGTTGAGGAAAAGGTTAAGAGTATAGTCACACAAAAAAAATATTTTAAAAGAAAATTTTTTTGACTTAATACCGTAATTATTAATTGTGTTAAAAGCATGTCACGTTATATTAAAACATGTATTAATGCAAATGGAGGCCATATCAAATATTATATTTTTTGTCTATTTTTCAGAATATAAAAAAAAAAAATATTAATAATTTATTATTACAATTTGTAATTATTATTAAAAAATTGACTGCCATTCTTTTCGCCAGGGTCTGTACGATTAAGTTCATATGCTGTACAACACTTGAATCAATCCAAATTGCAAATTTTAACCAAAATGGTTGGACTTTTTGATGTAAGATTGCAGTGAGAATCTTTTGGAGGAACGTTTGTAATTATAATACCTTAATTGCTTGTCTCCCAAACAAGTCAAAAGAAGTTTTATATGAAAATGGAATATTTACTTCATCTCCAACTTCAAAACCTCTTTTTTCTTATATATCATTCTGTAAAGTTTTATCTGTTAATCTGATTCATTACATAATTAGTAGTCTGCTTAGGAATTGTAATCGGTGTGGCTTTAGCCAATTTCACAAATAGTGTTAGAAACGCTAAGTAAAGTTCTAGTCATTACATAATACAATGATGTGCTAGTGAGTCACAATAACATTTATCATCTAGCAGTATGGATTTTTATTACAACTTGCCCGCAGACTGCGAGCAGTTGTAATAAAAATCTGAATAATTAGTTAGTCCAAAATCACTTAATGCGTAACAATCAAATTTTTTAAGACCGTAATTTTACATATCTTATAATATATGATGTAAGTTATAAGGGATTGATGTAACTAACTTACAATATAAATTACATGTATTCACAATAATACAGAAAAATTCTGCACAGAGCCAGCATTATGAGCGTAAAGGCCGTTAAGTGTAATAACAACTAATAGCACGTGACCAAATTAGTGATGACTTGTTTTGTGACATAGGATTTTAACTAATTGAAAACCCTGTACCTACTGATAAATCGTGGAATTTTTCGGGTAGTATTATAGTAAATTTCAAAATATACGGGATACTTGAAAAATTTGATTGTCGGGTTGTCGGGTAGCCTGGTTACTCTGCAGTAGGTTATTATATAATCTGATATACTACTATTCATTATACTCGTCACGTGTTATTTATACTTTTCTAATAAACAACCTACTGCCGAGTAACCTGGCTACCCGACAACCCGACAATCAAATTTCTCAAGTGTCCCGTATATTTTGAAATTTGCTGTAATAAACACTGACATTAACAAAATATTATACTAAAAAAAAACATTTTAAAATACATTAAGGAATTATTCAATAAATCTTCAAAAGGTTAGTGTTTATTTTCAAGCATATTCTTTTAAATATAATGTTAATTATTTGTTAGTTTAGAACTAAAATAATTTTCTTGATAGATAAAAATTTAGAGAATTTAAATGAAACGTCTATAGACATCGTTCATAGATGGGCTAAACAAGTGATAAAAAATCATAAAAATGAAGACTACTATGATAATGAACTTTTTGAAGACCCATTACTCCTAATTGAATGGTTTATTGGTAATAAGATTAAAAAATCTACAACATATCAAAACAACTCTTGTTATTGTACGTGTATAACATAAATATTACATAATTGAGTAATCTGATCCCAATTGGGATACATGCTTCAATTGCTTCATGCTTCCTCCACAAGGACTTCCATTTGATTGTGCGTTTTTGTTTGCAGATCAGCAATCTTTATCAAATGCACTCTCTGTGCTTGTTAGCAATAAGTGGTCCAGGCATGAAAGATAACACTGTAGATGTGGGTCGGGTGTTTGAAGTCCAAGTCAGTAAAAAAGGCAATTTTGATATTGCCGAACACCTTTTTGTTTTCAACATTTAAAAATATTATTATAATTACTACTATAGCTAATTCAATTATTTCTAATTATAATTAGGGATGGGGACGGTTCGTTCGGTTCCATTTCGGTTCACCGTTAGTTCCATGTCAGTTTCCATTAAGAAAAATATGAGCTACATGTGTCAAATTAAAGACACAAGTTGAAAATATGTGGATTATACATTAAAAAAATTTTGATTGGTTAACAATTAATAGTTGGTTCATGATCATTATAATTTTGATGTTAATCATATTTTGAACCGGTTTTTAGAACTGGTTCGGAACCAGTTCGGTTCAATTTTTAAAAGCTATTAAAAATTGTTTTAACTTATAAATTTTCTTTTTTTTTATTTATTGTAAAAATATTAGTGTTTCTCTATTCCCAATAAGATTTTTGGCTTGTATAAGTTCGAAACCCACAGGATTTTGATCGGTTCCAAAAACTGCTCAAAATTACGTAATCGAACCAATCCCATCCCTAATTATAATATAATTACAATTAGTAAAATTTGTATAGTATGAACTAAATAATAAATATTGGGTCCCGTGATCACCAGACATTGAAGATAGGGCCTTTATGGCTAAGATGACCCGTTACTAAATGAAGTCTACCTACGGAGTCAAACGATCACTCGACAGTGCACACGTGGAGTACTACTGGTATGATGAGTGGTTTGTAGTTTAATTATATTAGAGTAGTTATTAGGAAATTTTACTTTGTATATATCTTTTTATTTTTTTACTTTAATAAAACTGCAAATGNTGACGTCCATCCATCAAATGCTAAATTATATAAATATTATTTAATTAAATACGCATTAACAGTTAAGAATATCATTTAATGGGTCCCATGATCACCAGACATTGAAGATAGGGCCTTTATGGCTAAGATGACCCATTACTAAACGAAGTCTACCTACGGAGTCAAACGATCACTCGACAGTGCACACGTGGAGTACTACTGGTATGATGAGTGGTTTGTAGTTTAATTATATTAGAGTAGTTATTAGGAAATTTTACTTTGTATATATCTTTTTATTTTTTTACTTTAATAAAACTGCAAATGCGCTGCGGAAAAAAAAAAAATAAATAAATAATAAATATATTTGTTCAAAGCCACTGAAATTTTCAAGAAACCTTTTTGATACTCTAACTGCCACATCACCCAGAAAAATAATTTTTTTTTGTAATTAATACTATAGCAAAGAGACACGCATGATGTTTCTATGTCGTTTGTCACATGATTGCCGATCAATGTTGCATCCTAACAAAGTTACAAAGTGTCACTATTAATATTAAAAAAGTCAAATTTTTGTTTTTCATGTAAATCACATGTACTACGAAGAATTCTGGTCTGGGTCCGGGCCTGGGTAAATGCATGACCTCTATTTTAAATATCTTTTTCGTATATTACAATAGTAATGGTTGCACCAGTTACTTAGATGTTGCATGAATGGTATCTCACAAAACCCATTTAAATACTTTTTTTTTCTTGAAAACCTTTTGTTGTACTCTTATTTTTCAATATTCTCCCTTCAACCATGGCCGATAGTACTGAATATACGTCTGAATCTGATATATTGGACTCCTTTGTTTATAATTTGTTACCAATATTCCTTTTTACTATGAACTTCCTTGATGATAATTGGAACTATAACAGTTCTACTGGCGGAAGAATATTTGATGATGCTATTTTCCTTGGTACTCCTTTCATTGGAACGTTAATTTTGATGTGGATTAAAAACGTTAATATTATTTGGTTGAATATTTTTTATACAATTCATGTATCTTTTGTCCTTTTTTTCTTTGTCGCTACGCGAGTTTGGTTAAACCATGGGGAGTTAAACCATGAGAAGTTAAACCATGAGGAGTTAAATCATGAGGAGTTAAATCATGGGGAGTTAAACCATGAGAAATTAAACCATGAGGGAGATGTGAAATATAGTATGAAATATGTGTACGAAAAAATAACATGGAAAGTTTGGATACACCGCATACTATTTTCTTTAATAATATCTCAGACTATTCTAATTATTTTTAGTCTGATATTCATGTACAAATTCTTGCCGGAAGAGTCCTTGACTAAGGCTGACTACAAATATTATTTATGGGAATTCTTTCCATGTATGGTGATAATATTCTATTTAATTATACAATCGTTGATTTTTTATCGTAAGGAGGATGAGAAGGAGGATAAGAAGAATAAGAAGAATGAGGAGAATGAACGTAAAAACAAAAAACTTATCGAAACAATTACTCGTTTTATTATTTGGTCTATTCTACATGGAATAATTGTCACAGAATTGTGGTTATTCCCTATAAATGCCTATTTCACGAAGTTTTACTTATTATTATACGTAAATTGTGTGACATTAATTTTCCGCTATGATTCACCTAAGGGGATCAAATTTGGAGTTGGTTTTTTAAATTTTATTTTCATAGAGAATTCAAATAGCCTTAAAGAAAATTTTCACTTATCTGTAAAATATTTTTTCTTTCTGGATGAAGATGAGATTACAGAACACAAAGATCCTGTGCATAATGATCGATTTAGAAATATTAGAAGTTTATACACGAAATAAGACTTGAGTACTTGGCTTTGATCCCTCCCTTTATCACGTCTAGCAATTAAATATTTATCAACATTATGTAATTTGCAGTATATTTTGTAAATTATTTCTGTACAATCAAAAAAGCAATGCCAATTATTTAATTTTTTTGTTTAATAATGTAAAATTTATATTTATCGGGTTTCGAATTTAAATTGTAGCTCTATTTTAAGTATTTTTTTTTCGTTCAACTAATACAATAATGATATACTATATATACAGAATTTTTTTTTTTTTGCCCACCGGCTTTAACGTGATCTCTTGCATTTCCAGATACCATCTCACAAACCAATTAAATATTTTTATTTCCTTTGAAAAGCCTTTTTTTGTACGCTTATTTTTTAATGTTCTTTACTGAATATACTGTACAGTACATCTGAAATTTACTTATAAAAATGGACAAATTGCTAAACTATCTTTAGGATTTTGTCAATTTTACTCCTGACATATCGCAAAAATACTCCAAATTTTTCTGACTATATTTGCTATTTAAAATAAATATTATAATTTTATTAAAATTTTGAAACTATTTCATTAATATAATATGCAGTTACATGAGCCAAAATGATGACATATCTTTTAATAATTCCACTATAACCGTCTCATTTGGCATGGGCTGTGAGTAATGGCATTTTAAATTACTCAAAAACTTTATTTTGAAACAAAATATGTAGAATACATGTTAATATATACAGATGCATATTTTATTTTTTTTTCTTTTTGCATTGAATTACTATTAAAAAGCTGTATGTTTCACAAATTAATTAATAACCAGTTAAAAAGTAATTATCAATTATCAATTTTACTGTCAGCCAACCTTCCCGCAAAAAAATTTAAGGTATTTTTATGCCAGAAGTTTTATATACATTCAAGCGAAAAATTTCTCACAATGGGCCTTGTATTTAGGAAAGCAAGATGTCTTCTACTAGTAATATTCGTCTCGTCTGCTTTGACTCGTGGTGAGGCTGAGAAAGATATTTTTCCCGTAGAAATTGATAATAATTTGACCGTTGAAAATTTGGGAGATGAAATCAGAAAGGTCCGGAAAAGCTACTTCACAAAATCTTCGATCTATATAATAAAAATTTCGCTCAAGCCAATCATGCTTTGGTCTCTACTGCGAACACTACCGAAAAAAGATAAGGGGAATTGATGGAGTCCTTCCAAAAGATTTCTTATCATTTTCCGTGGAAGATATAAATAGACTTAAAGGAAACCCTACTTATCTTCAATATGATGGGGAAATAGGCCCTATTCATGTCATCGTATACCTCCAAGATGAATAATAAGTATTTTCTATTCGTATCATGTAATAGCAATAGTTATTGCCTCGGCAATGTTTTTTTATTTCATAAATAAAGTATTATTATTTTTATCGAGATTCACTAAAATTGACTAATAACATCATTAATATTAACTCTTTATATTTTGCATTATACATTAAATATTCCCTTACTAAAATATATTTCAATTCTAATTAAATAAACAAAAGCAACAGCGACAACAGCAACAAAATCAGCAGACCGATGCTGATGAAATCTTGTGGTTCGCTTGATTTATGCAAATTGCATATTTATCGTTATAACTGTTTATTATTTATTATGATTAATACAATACTAGATATTATGAGTGATTACTGATTACTGATTAGTTTCCAAAACATTTCTTACATCTACATTATCGTTATTTTCTAAGTCTACAGTTTCCATATTATCAAATGATTGTGAAAGATCAATAAAATCTTCCAATACTAAATTAGTACGTGTTTGTATTTCCATTTCTCTTCTTTCCTCTAATCTTCTATATAATTAAAACTAGGAAAACGGAAACCGTTAAAGTCCGTCGCGCTTGCTCTGTATCCAAAAAAAAATTGTTTACGAAAGATAAAAATACGAATAATCTTACCACCTCATGTTACACAGCCGATCACCGATCCACGACCCACTTTCCCGAGCTACCCCTTATTCAGTTCGGACAGTTAAACAATAATGTCATTTTCTTTTTCTTAAAAACGCGTAATTTAATCAATTTACTTTCGTAAAAAGTATTAAAAAACAATGCATATAACAAAAAATTAAACATTTTTGTTATACTTTTATTATAAACCAACTTAAAAAACGTTGTATATGATATAGCAACTGTAAATGTTAGAATATAGCGTTAGAATTATGGCGTTTTTGCTTTTTTGTAGGAGATAACGGGTAAATATTTTTATTCGTAATATCCTTCAAATTTCTAACATCTTCATTATCATTAATTCTTTCTAGAGTTACTTTTACTTTTATTTTTTTATTCAAATTTCTGGCCTCGTCGTCTACTCCATCAGGTATATTTTCAGATAATCGTTTTATATTATTTGTTATAAATTCCATTTCATTTAAATTAGCAAGAATACCAGGTAGCGGCGTCTTGTTTAATATTTAAAGAACCTGTTGGCATAGTTCTTCAGGTTGAGACGAATAGACGCGTGATGGTGATGATGTAGATGGCGAAGTAGCCAATTCGTGGATTTGTGTATGTAAACATGAAGGTTGAATTTCTTGAATGTAAATTTTAATGTAAAAATATTTTTTCTTAACAAATTAATAAGAATTATAAACGTTATTAATTATTAAATACCCGTATTATTTTGTATAGAATTATTGTTGAAGTCTTTTTCTTCACTGAATACATTGATCTTTAATATCTGATAATATCAATTTATTTTGATGGTCTTTTACTTTTTTTAATTGCATCATCTCGTGATGGTAATGAAACGTAGGGTAAAGATCGATGATCGAGAAGGTGGAAATATTGAAGTTGTGATATTGCAATCGAAGAAAAGTGGCCACATCCTATAGGTAATGCTATGCATAAACTGATGCATGTGCTCGGATTTTACCATGAGCACTATCATCATAATCGGGACATATTTTTGAAAGTTAGAAGCGGTAACAAAAATTATCAGAAGCAGCTAGAATCGGATACTGTCTGTTATGGTCCATACGATCCCGAATCTATTAGGCATTACTCTCTAGGAAACTGGAGGACTAGGCTTTTCCGGAGAATGATTAATACACAAAGTATATACAAAAAAATAAGGAGATCTTAGAACGCACCTTCAGTAGTCTCACTAGGGAACATATATTTACTTGACTTACCATCCCAATGTCACGCATTATATTGAAAAAAATTAGTAAGATAATTATTACGAAAACATTGTTAACAAAGATTAATAAAGTATTTAAGTTCGCTCCACATCAATTTGTGATCTTTTAACTCGTATACATATATATAGCAATTAGCAAAAAAGCATTTTTTATTTTTCTTTAGTTATGATGTAATATTATTATAGTTACTACAGACAAATAGTAAGAGCTAAAATAGCAGTACAGAATTATAATTATAATTTTTTTTATAGAAAAAGTTATTTTATGCCATTACAACTAGAAAATTGGTTTTATGTAATTTCACGTCAGTAAATTACTGCTGCGTGTCCAGTGTGGAATACTAAAACTCTAATCCCGGGAGTAGAACCCTGTAACCAACCTACAAAGTGTTGTGCGGAAGATTCATTATTGAATGAAAAAACGTGGTTTGTTCCTGGAAAAATAACTAAAGCGACATGGGGAGAGCCAGGCGGTGGATAATTATTGATGTTAGGTGGAGCATTTTTGCAGGTGGTAAGATCTACTATGACATAGATGGGGTCAATGATCGATCTAATTTTTGGATGAGAAAGAGCAAATTCCGTCAAGTCTGCACTGATCATTCCAAGAGCTTGCGCTCCTTGTTGGTTTTCTCCGGTGCCGTCTATAGCTACTCTTCCAGCAAGAATATCAGCAAGTGGTTTAACATCTTGTTCCTTCCACTTTGAGGCGGGTTTTTTTGCGAGGACGGTTGCAGGTTCCAAGAGTAATTTCCCTGATACAGATAGAATACTGAGTTCAACAAAAACTCTTGACTATATTTAATAAGACAGAGAAACAATATTATACCTGGCAATGGCTCAGGATTCATTTCACTAAGGCAAATAAACTCTTCACTAATCTCCTGGGCTAAACTGGGCGATCTAACAACAAAAGTATAGTTAATACATAAGAAGAGTATTATTTTAACGAATTAGAACCAGCTTACCTCTGTTTTTTAGTTACATTGGATTTTCTAGACATTTTGTAAATTTAGAAAATTGAATGAAAAAGTTGGGATTTGGAAAATAATCAGTGATACAGAATTGGGGAAAAAATCAGTAACGCGACATTTTAAATAGTAATATTTCAATCATATGATTTACTACAATACGTCATTCTGAAAGAAAATTCTTATCGGATGCAGCCAATATCAAATCAGAAAATAATTTAAAATCCATGTCAATATCATCATTTACCCTGTAAAAATTAATTTGAATCCGTAATTATTCCGTTTTTATTAATAATCACATGATTCCATGTTTTCTCCATAAATGTAGCATATTCACAGAATTTATAATTATAAAAAATGGATAATCTACTGGATAAAATTTATTAATAAAATGGAGGAATATCGGATAAAACAATGAATCGGCATGGTATAATTGTCACAGAATTGTGGTTATTCCCTATAAGGCTATAAATGCCTATTTCCGCTATGATTCACCTAAGGGGATCAAATTTGGAGTTGGTTTTTTAAAAGAAAATTTCACTTATCTGTAAAATATTTTTCTTTCTGGATGAAGATGAGATTACAGAATACAAAGATCCTGTGCATAATGATCGATTTAGAAATATTAGAAGTTTATGTACTTGAGTACTTGACTTTGATCCCTCAACTCTCCTTCCCTTTATCACGTCTAGCAATTAAATATTTATCAACATTATGTAATTTGCAGTATATTTTGTAAATTATCTCTGTACAATCAAAAAAGCAATGCCAATTATTTAATTTACCTGATAACAAAAATTTTTTTCGCGTACGCGAACTAATAATAAATAAATAAATATCATAGTAAATTATGACAAGGAATTGTTATGCCACAATATTTGATAACATCATAAATATTTTAATTATGAATTCATGGATTTTTCTCAACTCTATATATATATTATTAAATGTTTACTTTTCTCATTTGACCATTTTATACCATCATCATTGATAAAAAAATGAGTACAACAAACTGTAAACGCAAAATCCTAAAGATAGTTTAGCAATTTGTAAATAAATTTCAGATGTACTGTACAGTATATTCATTAAAGAACATTGAAAAATAAGCGTACAAAAAAAAAAGGTTTTTTAAAGAAAATAAAAATATTTAATTGGTTTTGTGAGATGGTATCTGGAAATGCAAGAGTCATTTTTCCAATCAAGAAGTCAACGCAGTAGGACGCTAACGATTTTCTTATTATTAATTGATTTGTCTTTTTTAATTATGATTTATAGTTGATTTGTCAATTGAGAAATCAACGCAGTAGAATGCTAACGATTTTCTTAATTTTAATTAATTGATTTGATTTTTTAATTATGATTTATAGTTGATTTTCCAATTGAGAAGTCAACGCAGTAGGACGCTAATGATTTTCTTAATTTTAATTAATTGATTTGATTTTTTAATTATGATTTATAGTTGATTTTTCAATCAAGAAATCAACGCAGTAGAACGCTAACGATTTTCTTATTATTAATTGATTTGATTTTTTAAATTTATAAATAGGATGATATGACGATATTGAACCCACTTCGATTTTTTAAACGAATATTGAGTGAATATCAAAATGTCAAATAATAGCAAAAAACAATAAAATAAAATAACAAATAAAAGCAACAGAGGTTTCAAGAAGAAACACCTGACGAAGGATCTAATCGTTAATAGGGAAGAACGGAAGAAGAAAGTAATCCGAATCAGACGAGTGACAAAACCAATAAGTCGGCTAGCAAATCGTCACCCACCAAGTCAAACAAACAAAAGCAGCAAAGGTTTCAAGAAGAAACACCTGACGAAGGATCTAATCATCATCACTCACCAAGTCAAACTAAAGTTGCCTGCCAAAACTAAAAAAGAAATTCCGAAAGGTTTCGGCCAATCAAATGCCGAAAATGCCGAAATTAGGCCGAAACTCGGTCTTAATTTTGGCCAAAATTAAAATTCGGCCGAAATTATGACATTGTGTCACGTGTCGTTACACAAATTTCCAAAAAAGGAAATTTTGTTTCCCAGTAAAATCGGAGAAATGCGTCGCACAAATGTTACACAAAATTCCATAAAAGGAAATTTACGTGTCGATCATTATTCCGGCCAGAATTATAGTATTAATGTTGGCCAATAATTTCGGCCAAATTTCGGCCTTTCGGTAAAAGTTTCAGCATTGTATAATTTCGGCAAATTTACTTTTAATTGCCTAAACTTTCGGTTTTAAAAAAGTTTCGGCCTTGGCCTAAACTACTTGATTTTAGCAAGCAACTTTAAGTCAAACAAACAAAAGCAGCAAAGTCAAGAAGAAATACTGAGCGAAGGAACTAAGCATCAATGGGGAAGAATGAAAGAAGAAAGTAATCTGAATGGGATGAGTGACAAGACCAATAAGTTGACTAGCAAATCGGCACCCATCAAGTCGATCCTCAAATCTGCAAAGTCAACTAAGCCAACTCAAGAAGAGTCTGACGATGAGGTTATAGAAATTGAACCGCCAAATATTCCTAAAGGTAATTGAATTTTGGAAAATTGCTGATTGACATGTATGATAATTAATAATTTTTATAGATCAACAAGAGATGTTATCGGAAATGAAAAAACGATATGGGAATATTCGAATTCCACAAAAATTCGTATTAGTGGTTAAAGACAATCAAGGTAATGAAAAGGTAATTGATGACGATGATACTGATTTAGAAGCAGGTACGATTTTGACTTCATTCGTATAAATTCAGAATTATTCATAAAAAAATATTACTATTAATAAAATTCTTTATTTAGAAAATCTAAAATTAAAGAAACAAATTGATGAAGTACAAGTAGAGAATGCAAGGCTTCAATGCGAAAATAACCGATTATTCAACAAAAAATTATTTTTTGACTCGAGTAAACGAGGCCTTTGCAGACGAGAATGATGATCTACACAAAAGCTTAAACAGGTATCAAGAATCCGCCTGCCTAAAGCCATTCATAGGCAGACAGATCTCAAACAGCCGGTAAAATGTTAAAAAAAAATTAAGACAAAAAAGTCTGAGCAATACGAGGAAGAATCGGAGGAACTAGAAAGAAGGGTCTAGTTCTAACAATAATGATGAGTATGACAAAAAAGAAGCTAGGGTATATTAATTTTATTTGTCTGATTCAGTTATTTAAAATTGCAATATTGAGTAATTAAGTACTGGTTATCATTATTTGATTGTTATATTTAGGCTGAAATGAATAGGGTGGGGGAAAGTTCAAGTTCTGGACTTTAAGACTGAGTCCTAATTTTTGGGATCTAATTAGGACGGTCCCAAACTAGTCTTTATAATAATAATAATATAAATTAAAGTTATGATCATTTAACAGCTAGTCAGTAATCATATGATTAATTTAATTATCAATGTAGATCAATCACGTTTTAATAAATTCCTGTGTTCCATTAAATAAACCGCGTTTATTTTCTGTCTTTGTTCCATTTTCTGTCTTTATTTCATTTTTACCATTAACTTTTCCTTTTCAATAAAAATGTCAGATAATGATTTTGATGATGCTGATTATGACGAATATGAATCATCTTCAGATATTGAGTATAATCAAGACGCACCACAAGATCCTGTAATAAGTGAGGAAGAAGAAAATAACTCTGAAAAAGAAAATTTGCCCCAAACTCGTCGTATTTCACCAGCGTGGAAATATTTTAATGATAAAATGTCACAATATCCAGGAAGACCAGTCTGTTGCAAATGTCAAAAAGTTTTTGGAAAGGATACTGGAATCTCAACTTTAAAACGACATCTTTCTTCTGCACATAAAATAATGATAGAGAACGTTAAAAGTACATTAACAAATCAAAGTGTTTTGAATTTTAAACGGGTTGATCCTTAGCCAGAAAAAGAAAAAGTGAGCGTGATAATGCAGTGGTAGAATGGATAATTGGAGATGCACAGCCCTTTCGATCAGTTAAAAATTTGTATTTTAGGCAAATGGTCAATACTTTTGATTCTCGATATCAAGTTCCTGATAAAAATGGAATTAAAAACTTAGCAATGATTATTTTGAAGCAAAACGTGATAATATACAATATGATTTAAATAATATTCTGGGAAAGATATCCCTCACGGCAGATATATGGACATTAACTTTCAATAATGATGCATATCTTGGATTAACAATTCATTTTATTGACAATGATTGGAATTTGCGAAATTTTTTATTAGATTTTATGTCTTTTACTACACGTCATACTGGAATAAACATTGCTGATGCAATTATTTCAATTTTAAGAAAATTTCATATTCTTGAAAAAACATTAGCTCTAACCACTGATAATGAATCAGCAATGATAGTTTGTGGAAGAACAATAGCAGCAGAACTTGCAGATGAACTTAACAATTAATCTTTCCGCCACTATAGATGTTCTGCACATATTTTAAACTTAGCTGCACAGCAAGGAATTAAAATTATTGATAATGAGATTGTTAAAATACGTGAAATAATAAAAAAAATTAAAAATTCACCTCAAAAATGCAATAGATTGCGAGAATTGTGTTCAATAGATAATTTGCAATATTACAAACCACAACTAGATGTTGAAACTCGGTGGAATAGCACATATTATATGATAGTAAAGTTTCAAAAAATATTGCGTCCTATTGAAATGTTAGCAGCAACAGATTAAAGCATTGGAAATTTAATGCCAGATGGACGAAAATTAAAGTAAGTTAAATTTTTTAAAAAACAGATAAGTAATAATTCTAACACTTACAAATAAATAGGATACCTTAATTCTACTTGAGCCTTTAGAAAAGACAACTGTACTACTTTCAGCCTCCTCTTATCCCACTATTTCAGATGTTAGGTTCTTATTTCTTGGGATTCAACAGCATCTAGATGATTATATTGGAGAAGAAGGATTTAGTCAGAGTGAAGTGGCATCATCAATCCTAACAGTATTGGGAAGTGGTGGATTCATCCACCATAGTAGCTACAATTTTAGATCCACGTACTAAACTTACTTTGTTTGCAACAGGAGAAGAATCAACAAATGCAGTAAATGCAATAAAAAGCCACTTTGCCGAGTATAATGTATCACCACTTCTAACATCATTACCTAATACTAATCAAGAAACAGTAAGCAACCGTGAATATTTCCATCAGTTGAAGAGAAGACGGTTGGCTATTTCAGATTCACAAACAGAAAGATCAGTAAGGAGATCAAGGTCGTCTGGAATTTATGAAGAACTTGATCGGTATCTTGCCTTACCATGTGATAATAATGTTGAACCTTTGCTATGGTGGAAAGCTCATTTTCGAGAATTTCCAGCATTGGGAGCAATGGCACGAGATTATTTGTCTATCCAAGCTACCAGTGTACCATGCGAACAAGCTTTCTCTGTAGCAAGTAATACTATAACCCATACAAGGAATAGGATGCTTCCAGAAACAGCTCGCGCTTTATTGTGTTCAAAAAGCTAACTTGAGAAAGGAATTGGAAGTAGCCGCAAAGGGAAAAATAATTTTTGAAAAAATTAATAGTTTCGTTGTGTTGTGTGTGAAAAAAATTAATGTGGCTTAACGGTATTACAATAATAATAATATATGATTATGATCAACATTAGATCAGCTGATTAATTAAATAATAGCTAATAAATGTTTAAAAAAATAAAAAATAAAAAAAATTGGCCTATTTTTATAAGTTTTTTATTAAATAAAATATAATAAAGCAATAGTTCGGACTTAGTCTGGACTCAGTCCAGACTCAGTCCAAGGTATTAGTCTTTGACTAAGTCTGGTCTGTTCGTGTACTAGGACCAATAAGTCATAGGACTTTAACCGGACTGTAACGGACCTTCCCCACCCTAGAAATGAAGTTTATTTTGAAAACCATTAATGAAACTCGAGAACTAGATTACAATGAAACATTCAATAGCGCGAAAAATCTCAAGATTCGTTATAAGCTAATCCCTGAATTACGTTCAGCCCTTGCTCCGTATTTTCCTGCTTCAAATAAGCAACTTACAAAATGGTTGGGTTGTTTCCACAAGTCTCGTCGTTCTCATCAAAAATTAATGGATAGGGAAAAAGCTGATGAAAATAAACACCGGGTATACTCAAACAATTGAGTACATGACATTAGTAATGATTTATAATTATTATGCTGAATTTTATTCCGATTATGTATTGAATTTTATTCAAATTATAACGTATTTTAGAAGAAAATCTGCCGAATGAAGGCAGCAAAGAGATTATATAGTTTTGACGATGAACGGATAACAAAATATGATAAGCATAGATTACTAAAGATGTTATCCAATCGCTTATTTCATTCTTCAAAAATAAGCAAGATAGACGAAGAAGACCCAACAAAGTCCATAATCGCTATTTACGACTATTCATGGAGATCTGATGAGGTTAGAACTTCTGAATCTTGATTTTTAGACGAATTGCTAGATTTAATTTTTATATTTTATTGTTTCTTCAGCTTAATTTGCTACGAAATGTACTTGAAGTAAGGCAAAATTAATACGTGAACGTAGATATGATGACAAGGTATAAAAATACAACTGACTACATCCGTCGAATGCTCCCAAATGGTCTTATATCATACAACAACAAGATTTAATATTTGATACTGATATCGATCAGGGTTTCAACACTGAATATGATGAAGAAGTAGAAGAAGTTAGTAGAGGGACAATACCAGCAACTGGCAACACCACCGAAAATGATGAAGACCATAACAAGAAAGGAGAAGAAAACCCATCAAAATCAATGGTTGGTGACAATCATAATAATTCAGATTCTGATTTACATATGGATGACGCGCAATGAACAAATCTGAATTAATTTGGTAGCAGAAAACTTTCTTTTTTTCATCAAAAATCTATATATATATATAATTAATATTCCAAATTATTAGTATTAGAATTTTCCATAATTCAAAATAAATTTGTCTTAATTCAGAAAAAAATTAATTACAATTTGAAATAAATTTACTGCAAATTTACTGCAATTCAGAATAGAAAATTAACTGCAATTCAGATTAAAATTTACCGCAATTCAGAATAAATTTACCGCAATTCAGAATAAAAAATTTACTGCAATTCAAATTAAAATTTACTGCAATTCAGAATAAATTTACCACAATTCAGAATAGAAAATTTACTGCAATTCAGAATAGAAAATTTACCGCAATTCAGAATAGAAAATTAACTGCAATTCAGAATAGAAAATTTACCGCAATTCAGAATAGAAAATTAACTGCAATTCAGAATAGAAAATT